ATTGTATTTTTAGGTTTATTTTTGAGAGACAGACAGAGAGCAGGGGAGGTGCAGAGAGAGAGGGAGACACAGGATAAGCAGGCTCCAGGCTCTGAGCTGTCAGCACAGAGCCTGACGCGGGGCTTGAACTCACGGACCGCGAGATCATGACCTGAGCTGAAGTCTGACGCTCAACCGACTGAGCCACCCAGGTGCCCCTTATTCTAGTTTTTAAAACACGGTTTTTTAATCTGTTACTCCCTGGACTCCAAATTACCCCTGTTCCGCAAACAGTACACCAAGCACATTCCTACCTCGGGAACCTGGATCTTCCCAGGCCTGCTGCCCAGCATACACTCCCTCACCCTTTCTCCCTGGCGAAATCTTACTCGTCTTTGGGCAAGTGAAGTGTTCTGAGCCTCAGTTTTCTTTTCTATAAAATTGGGCCAAAGAGCAAGTGTATCTAAAATACCCAGCACACAGGGACAGCCCCCTGCAAACACCAGTCCCCCACACCTTTCTCCCCAATCCCCCCCAATCTTGATCCCCCCACACTCTGCAAGTAAGAAAGAGGGTGTAAAATAGAAACAGAGGATGGCTTGGTCTCCTATAACTGCAAAATCCAGAAGATGATCACGCGCAGTTCAGGTAAGGTTTGCTCTAGAAGGTTAATGCTAATAATAGCTAAAACTCAGTGAGTGCTTACAATGTGCCACTCTTCTAACCACAATATATTTAGCAGCTTATCTTCACAACAGCCCCATGAGGTAGCCATACTCTTATTATCCCTGTTTTCCACATTAGGAAACGACATCCCAAAAGAATAAAAACTTGCCGTGGTCACACAGCACACAAGTGGGGGGGCTCAGACTAGTCTGACTGACTAGAAAGGGAGATCCACTTTCAAGTAAGGCTTGATCCAGCCGCTCGAGGATCTCACCAAGGACCTGGTTTCCCTTGGTCTCTCCTCTTCGCCTTCTCCAGGGAACTCACCCCCTCATGGCTGTCAGCAGATTCTGATGAGACTTTTTTCCCTCGGGGGAAAAAAGCACCCGTGTCTCAACTCCATGCCAAGATCCTCAAATTCACTCTCATTGGGCCATCTGAAGTCACGCACCTATTTCTGAACCAATCGCCATGTTCCAGGTCACTGGACAACGTTGCTTGGCTTTTATATTAAAGAGGTGGAGTCTGCTGAGAAAGCAGGCAAGAGAGATTCCTCCAAAAATTCAAGGTATTATTTCCCTGAAGGAGGGGGAATGGCTGTGGGCAACCAGAAACAGATGTCTGCATCCCCATGACTCACACATACAATAAAACACTGTAAAATGTAGAGGAGGAGGAGGAGGAGGAGGAGGAGGAAGGAGAATGGAGAATGGAGAAAGGAGGAAGGAGGAGGAGGAGGAGGAGGCCTGGTTTGGGGACGGCTATGCTGTAGCCCAGGCATGCACCATCTGGCCAGCCTGGCCTGGCCGTGACCCTCCAGGGAAGGAGGCCTTCCTGTCCACACCCACACCCCGAAGTGGTGGCAGGGTCACAGGGCAGGCACACTCAGGGCTTTGGAAGACAGCCTGCAGCACGACCAGGTCACTTCTGGGCTACTTCCTTCTGGGCAGGAGGCCCTGCTGGGAATAGGGAACATGTGAAGATGTTCCCACAGACTGACCTAGGGAACAAGCAGCCCCGGCTGGGCACACGTAGCCTCTAGGGATAGTGGGCAGGGATACCTGACGTCCTGAGAACACAGTGGCCCCTCTTGTCTCACAGCCAGGAAACGCTGAGGCCCTTGGTCCTTCCACCAGGCTGTAACCGGGAGCTTCTAAAGTCCCTGTGGGCCCCAAGCCCACTTTTTCATTTCTTTTTTTTTTTTTTTAATGTTTATTCATTTTTTGAGAGACAGAGAGAGACAGAGCATGAGTGGGGGAGGGGTAGAGAGCGAGGGAGACATAGAATCCGAGCTCCAGGCTCCGAGCTGTCAGCACAAAGCTGACGTGGGGTTGGAACTCACGGACCGTGAGATCATGACCCGAGCCAAAGCCAGACGCCCAACCGACGGAGCCACCCAGGTGCCCTGAAGCCCACTTTTTCTTTTCTTTTTTTTTTTAATATTTTTTTTCAACGATTATTTATTTTTGGGACAGAGAGAGACAGAGCATGAACGGGGGAGGGGCAGAGAGAGAGGGAGACACAGAATCGGAAACAGGCTCCAGGCTCTGAGCCATCAGCCCAGAGCCCGACGCGGGGCTCGAACTCACGGGCCGCGAGATCGTGACCTGGCTGAAGTCGGACGCTTAACCGACTGCGCCACCCAGGCGCCCCTACTTTTTCTTAACAGCCCACACATTCAATCATTAAAAAGCCAGTAATGCTTCTTCCCGCCTCAGGGCTTTTGCACTGGCTTTTTGCTCTGTCTGGAACACTGTTCCCCTACAGTCTCACATGGCTCCTTCCATCCCCTCCCATAAGTCTGCTCACATATCACCTTCTCAGTGAGGCAGTCCCTGGCCACCTTCATCAACAACTCAACCTGCCCTCCAGCCTCCCAGCCTCAGATCCTCCTTACCCTGCTTTGTGTTTGTTTGTTTGTTTGTTTGTTTGTTTTCCAAAGCAGCCATCACTTCACTTTCTGGCATGTCAACAAGTTCATTACCTATTGATTATTATCCATCACCCCCCACCACCACCTCCCCAGGTGTCGGCTCCAGGAGGCAGAGATTTTTGTCTTCTTTTATTCCTGCTGCTTCCCGTACCTAGAACAGGCCCTGCCTTGTAATATCTGCTCAATAAATATTTGCTGAATGAATAAATACATGAATAGCAAAAATTATAGTGAAGCTCATTTTTGCAGTCAATTTGTGTTGTTTGGAACCTATGCAAATGTGCATGAGGAACCTTAAACGTTCTCCTCAACATCAGGCGCTGTGCGTCACTGAGGAACGTCTCTTAGGAATGAGACTCCATTCCCCACGGGTCCACCAGCCCCCAGGACAGGGCTGGCTCGGAGCAGGTGCTGAAAATGTTTAAACGGCAAATGTACCGTCAGGCAGATGACCAGGTGGGAGAAGGAAGTCAGTTGGCACGAGCCCCCATCACAGCCTCCCTGCCTCCAGCCCCCTCACCCCTCACCCCTGTGCACCCTTCTTACTCACTGCCCTTCCCTCTCGGTGCACCCCCACTCTAACCTGCCTCCTCTCAGCAGCTAGACGGATCCTCTCAAAGCACAAATTGGATCTTCAATTCTGCGGGGCTCCCTGCTGCCCTCGGAACAGCCTAGATTCCTCTGTAGGGCACCAAGCATGCCCAAGCCCCCATGGAACTTCCATTTTTCTACAACTTTCTTCTCATGTTCACTCCAGGCTCGCCGATTGTTTTTTCTTCAATTCAGTGAGTAAAACAACCTCTCGCCACCAGGGTGAGAGCACATGGCACGTGCTATTCCCTCTGTGTGGAAGACTCTCATACCTCACCTGATTCCCTTTCCCCAGCGGGTTCTTACTTAACTTCAGATTTCAGCTGATTCCCCTCCTGCAGGAAGCCCTCCCTGATTCCTCCTCCTGAGGTAGATCACGACTACGTATGCATTCCCATAGTTCTCTCTCTGCCCCAGTCTTTCATTCATACATTAATTCAACACTTATTTGGCCTAAATGGTGCATAATGATCTGGCTCTTTAATATCTCTCTGATCCCACCTTCCCCCTTTTTTCCTCTCACCCTCTGCTCCAGCTACATAAGCCTCCTTGCTATTGCTTGAGCACACCAAGCATGCTCCTGCCCCAGGGCCTCTGCACTTCTTTGGGTATCTTCATGGCAGTTCCTTCACTTCCTGCAGGTCTCTGCTTAACTGCTGCCTCCTAGGAAAGGCTCTGCCGACACCTTCCCCTCCCCATCTGCTGAAGTACTCCTCGTCATTCTCCGTCCATCCCTGTAGCCTGCATCATTTCTCCACATCATTTGTCCCTACCGGAAATTAGATTATCTTTTTACCTGTTTATTGTCTGTCCCTCTTGCAACTCTGAGGGCAGGGGCCTCCCATGTCTTGTCTGCTGCTGAATTATCAGCATTTTACACAGTACCTGGCCCACAGCAATTCTTGGTAAAGATTTGGTGAGTGAATGAATGTGGCAATCCAGATCAATATGACTCGGCACAAGCCGTGGGGGGCTCCATCCCCCAACACCGTGACACCTCGGGGGTGTCCATCTCAGGCAGCTTTGCAGCCTGAGTCTCAGAGCTAGGAGGAAGCGGAGAACATAGACCTAAAGGAAGAGAAGGGGCCAGCCACATCCCTCTCCAGGGAGATCATTCACTTGGAAGTAGGTACAGTGAGTGCAAAGGCCCTATGGCAGGATGACAGTAGGAGACATCAGGAGACAAGGCTGCAGAGTCAGCAGGGCCTTGAATGTCAGGTGAGGGTGTGGACCTCATCCCAACACTTTCACAGTCAAGTATAACACACAGGGGAAGTAATAAACATTTCGTCAGTGTCTCCTGCCTGTCAGTACACTACCTCTCATTGTGTTCACTGTGAACCTTTCTAAAGCCTATGAAGCATTAGATTTCCATTTAATGAAGGAAAATGGACCCACACAGGCTCAGAAACACAGCTATGAGACTCCAAGTTTCTAAGGCTAGGCTCCTCCCATTGCCTTTGACTTTTGCCCCACCCACTCATCCATGTGATTCCACCTCTTCCCTCCTTTCTGGCTTTGCTCTAATTGGTGACCAAAGGCACATGTCATTCTCCAGGCCAGAAAAACAACTTGATGCCATTCAACGTCTCCCCCGGAACACCCAACACCCATCGCGTGTAATATATGCAAAACAGAACTCCCAGGTTCCCCCCAGAGCTGATCTCCCCCAGCTCAGCCAGTGGCACCTCTGTCTCCCAAAGGCTCAGGCCAGGAACCTGAGCGTCATCAACCAGCAAATGCTGGCCGCTCCACCTTCAAAATACATCCAGAATCAGCCACTTCTCCCAAGTCCATGATCACCCTGGTCTGACCATCCATCCACTCCTACCTGGGCTATTTCAGCACCTGTCCCTGGTGTCCTGCCTCTGCACGGTCACTGGGTCCATTCCTTGCGTGGAGCCAGAGAGACCCTGTTAAAAATATAAAGTCAAAGTCACCATGCAATTCTTTACCAGAGCTTCCCGACAGAACTATGACGGACATGTTCCACCTCTGTACTGCCCAATACGTTTCCCACCTGCCACATGGGACTATTGAAATGGGCTCAGTCTAACTGAAGGGCTGAATTTTTAATTTTACTTACTTTAATAGTTGGCAAGGCTGTGGGAAAACAAGCATTCTTGAACACAGCTGTGAGAGTATAAATTAGGACGTGATTCTAATCCCAGTATCCACCTACCTCAGAATGGTTCGTCTCTATCTACCAAAATGACAAGGGCATGTAACAGTTATCACGGCAATCCCACTTCAAGAGTGTGTCTTTCCCGTGCAAAAGTGACATTACATTAAAAAAATTTTACAACATCCAAAGACAGGAAACAACCCAAGTGCCTATTCAACAGACAACTAGTTACATGAATTATGTGGTCCAGCCACATAAGGGAATACGATGATGTTGTAAAAAAAAAAAAAAAAAAAAAAAAAAAGGAGGAAACAGGACACCTAGAGCAAAAACAAAGAAAAAATCCAGAAACTGGACTTCATCAAAAGCAAAAACGGTTTTGTGCACCAAAGGACACTATCCAAAAAGTGAAAACACAGCCAACAAAATGAGAAAATAGATTTGCAAATCATGTATCTGGTAAGAGGCTAGCGTCCAGAATGCATGAAGAACTCTTACAACTCAACCACAAAAAGACAAATCATCCCATTTTGAAACAGGCAAAGGTTTGAATAAATGCACTGGGCTGAGCCTTAATTCACTCGGCAAGTGTTTACTGAGCCTCTACCACGTGCCCTATGCGGATCCCGACATGGGGATTCAGCTGTGAACAAAGCAAGTCCGGGCCCTCAGGAACTGGTTTTCTGGTCAATGACACATGTTATGACCCATGACAAGCGCTGTGAAGACAAAACATGATGATGTCACAGTGACTGGAGGAGGGGGCAACTTTGAGTAGGGAGGGCAAGAGGGGCCCGCCCCCGAGGAGGCAACATCATTGGTAATTAAGAGTAAATGAAAGGCTGTGGACTCGCTCCTGGGCCTGCGCCTAACAGATATTAAGCGCTCACCAAATCTTATAGCGACGCTTAGGGTCATTCTCCTCAGTTTACTGTCTTCTCCCTCGGGAGAACAAGAGGTCCTGGGGATCTGGCTCGACGTTTCTCCTCCCCGGGACGCTCAACGGCAGCTGGCACACAGTAGGTGTACGCAGGGTCCTCCTGACCTCCGCACGAGGTAGGGCTCGAGAAGCTAGCCCAGTGGGAATGGGCCTCAGCCCAGGAGTACGATTCAAAGTGTCCAGCAAGTGCTGGCTTTCTAGCCCCGGGCCGGCGCCCTCCACTCGCGCTCCCTGCACGCAGGAGGCGCTTGACAGTGCGTGCTGAAGAAACGCCCTTTTCTGGGTCCGGTGGCGCACGGCCTCGACCCATTGCACAGGCCGGCAAACCGAGCGAGAGATGGGTGGTGCCACGGGCGGCATTTCCGTAGGGGCAGGAACCGAGGCCCCAGCCGGGGGCGGACGCGACGAGCGGGGACTCGCCGCCGCCCCACGCTTCCGTGCCCAGCTGTGCCCAGCTGCGCTCCTGCCCCCGGAGCGCCGCGGTTGGCTGCGGCTCGGAGGCCGCTGATTGGCCATCGCGGCCCCGGCGCGGTCCCCGA